ATACATACATACATACATACAAGTACATATGTACACACAAGTACATATAAATATACATACATATAGGCTTGTGCCTGAGAGTTATACTTACAATTTTGCTAATGTACGATCTTGCTTGTTCCATTGCTTTCTAGAACACTGGAAAGAAAAGGAAAAAAAAAGTTATTTAAAGAAAATCTCTTGACTTAACAATAACAACGAACATGTGCAACCCCATGTTAAATTGCTGCTCTTGCATTATTTTTTTTTTCTTGAAGACACACTTTGGCAATACCTTGAACCCAACCATTTTAAATGTCTTCCAGCTAGCGCACACTGCACTACTGTTTGAGCTGTGGAATTAAACCAGGTATCCAAAACCCACATCCCACCTCTTGTCCAAACATCATTCATTGCTGAGGAGAAAGACGGCACTGTCTAACGGAGGTCGACTCAGACTCTCGCAATGTGAACTCTATTTTTATAAGACAACAACTGCATTACCAGCTTCCCACAAGCTTTTGCTGAAACCGTAGGACAAAGTGGGGTTTCAGTTTTTCCCCCCCCAGTACATTTCATTTACATGAAAATGCTCGAAAGGCAAAATATGTGCCAGGCATGTGATGGATTCCAAGAGAAAGCACTGCTTTGTGTGTGGTTTGCAGCTATTAAGATTTGATGGTTTAGATCTGGGATATATAGATATTAGAGGTTTAAATTATTAACAGGTCAGCTTGTCGCTAGCCCCAAATTTTTGTAAGAATATTATTTGTTTTGAACACATGTACAACAGCTGATATGTCTATTGCGACATTAAAACAAAATTTAAGCAGAAACTAGTTGTTATGCGTAATTTGTTACGGTATTGGTATCAACTGCTGAAATACTGGTATCATGACAAACCTATGCAAAACATATACAAATATATATATATGCCGTTGTGATGTACAGCAAGAGAGATGAAGTAAATGGCACTAAAATGGATTTGTGCATCTTCAGACATTCTCCTATGATCTGACTAACCAGATATTTTAATCTTGGTAAATTTATCCGACAGCAATAATTTGACTAGAAGAAGGAGTGACCTCTGATCAACCTTCAGAGAAGAACAACGCCAGACAAAACTCCTTCAAACAAAATACCTTATCAAGTGTGAAAGAAGGTTAATCCCATGGTCCGTCCCCACATGTTTGCATAGTTTGTTAGGTTCAGCCTATTAAACATTAGACCAAATAAGCCAAGTCTAAGGAGTCACAACTTTAACATTAAGACTACAATTTTTTTTTTTGGGTACATCCAGGTGTGTGATCTGAATTAAGAAAGCAAATGCTAAAACTGAGGAGCTCTACTAGGAGAAACTATGAGACATAAACAACCGGAATACCACAAACCAAAAGTGGCCTTGATCTCCAATGGTGCCACAACACAGATAAACCCTTTGCTCTAAACAAAACGCGCAGGGAAGAAACAGTGAAGGCTGGCTATAAAATGACTTTGACTCGCTAAAATGTAAACTAGCGTAGGGGTAATATATTACCAAAGATAACTTCAAAACATTGCTTGGCTACAAACAGCTCCAGGACGGCCTTGACCTTTAGAACCCGAAGGGGTGATAAACATTAACCTAGTCGCCGCAGCACGATAATAGCTGTTAAGGTCATGAAAAGTGGGTTAACTAGTTTAAGGTCAAGGGGAAGGTGGGAGAGGGTAAAAGTTGTGCGCAGCTTCATCAAACTCACCATCCTTAGAGTGTAGTCACACGTCCTCCCACACCAAAAGCGCGATTGTCCCATAAAGAGTGGATCTTAGGGCTAGTGCGAGTGAACAAATTTCACCCCAGCAAAAGATTATATTTACGAAATTTCAGAAAATTGTGCCAAACTACAGACTAATTTTAATACGATGCCACCTAAATTCTTTATCAGTCTGCCACATGTTTGACGAAAGAGACGCCACTTAGTAGTTGGGTGACATCTGTGCAGAAGAGATAGCTTCACTTGAATTTGAGATACGCCCTTCGGGGATGACACAGGCAGGCTCCGGCCGGCCGGGGAGAAAGCAGGACCTTAGCCGTTTCAGGGCCTAATCAAGCCAATTGGACTTAAACAAATCTTGGGAAACCACGTTGCTTCATGCAAGCTTCCTTAGAATGTGACAGGTATACTTCCCTTCCCTACAACACTACTCGTTATGTTTTCTGTTTGAAGAAACTAGTGAATTGACAAAAATAGTTACATAGAGGGCAAATGGACGGAGTATGTGTCTTGAAGACATTTCACCTCTTCAAGAAATCTACTCCGTCCAGTTGCCCTTGATGTAACTATTTTTTGGATATGATGATTCGAAACTGCTACCAAATAAAGAACTATACACAACCAAGAAACGTTCAAAGTGAATCTGTTGAGACAAATTATGGACACACTGGCCCCTAATAAGGTATATGAAACAAAAGTGTATTGGCTGCTTTAACTACTATAGGATTGAATAGCGCAAAATTTATTTTTGTATAAATATTTTAGCTCTGCTCTGCTCAACTGCCCATTTCTTTGGTATTAATCTGTGCAAATATGATAAAACATTATATCAAAAGGGTATTAATCTGTGCAAATATGATAAAAAATTATATCAAAAGCTTTCATTCAACGGATAAAAAAAAAAAAAAATTGTACAAGCCATAAGAGAGAGATTCTGCTGTTTCCACAGCTCCAAGCTTTCAAGCATCTTTTTACATTCTATAAGTTATGAAAAAATGAGAACAGCGTGGGAGAAAAGGGTTGGGGGGGATTTCAGGGAGACTCATTGTGCAGGGCTAAATCATGTGAGAGTCACACTGGGGGGAAAAAAAAAATCTCTAAAGGAAGGTCGAGTCAGAAGGAACACCGAGGCAGACAAATCCCTTTTGTGAGACAGGCACAGACATTCTAACTGAAGCACAGCCAATGCAAATTTTTTTTTAACTACAGGTTCTGTCAACGAGTGTTCAATGAATGGTTAATGCAGAAAATGCCAGATATTATTTACTAGCATTTCATATTGATTCTGGCCACATTGCACAATAGCTGAGTCACACAAGAAGGAATAAAAGGAACAATACAAGGAAGATAATACATTATTATCTTCCTTCCGTGCAATACACAATACATACACAGAAGATAATCTGTGCCAAATGGAAGGATTACAAAGTTGCGGAAACACATTCCTCAAATTTCTCAAACAGAATTGACAACCATTAATCATTACATTTTTTTACATGCATTGCGTTGCATTTTGTTATTTGAATTTGTTGAGTTAAGCTTTTGAAGACGTGCCAATGAACACACCTGTAAGCAGAACCAACGTCAAATTTTTAAACAGGTTTGGAATAGTTAAAATTGTTCTTACATTACTGGAATATTAAAAAAAAAAAAGAAAAAATGTCAATGCAGTGTGTTCAACTAACCTGATTTTTTTTTTTTTTTTTTTAGACCATTCATTAACTCCATTCAAAAGGTAGTATAAATGGCAGATGAAACACAAATTTGACTGGACCAACATATACTAAAGTAAGGGTGTACATTTAACTATTCCGTGAGCAATTTTTAAACCACAACATAAATTATTTATAGAGCATGCATTTCTGCATTTCCTGGAGCACTGACTACAATCTGCAAATGCAAAAAGTGCCATTAGGATTCTTTTTTTTTTTAAATAAAAAAATAAACTAAGAAATCTTATCTGAATTTTTACTTGGTCAGATAATGAATTCAGTTGAAGTCAAAAATATTTATATGCACATTTTTTTAAAAGAACTGTTAAAACTGGTTTGGCCTGTCTAACTGTAAATATTGGAGACAAACAAACCAAATTGGTTTGAAAGGTACACTCCAGATACACAGAATAGGATTGGTCAGTTTACTCTGAATTATCTGAAATTCATCAGAAAATACTTTAGCCAGGAATATCACAATAACTGTATTGTGAACTGTGCTACTAGTTGTTAGTCACAGCAACATGGTCACTTGCACATAAAACGCATAATAACACAAAATATAAAAACGCATTTAAATATTAGCTTTCATAGGCTTCCTCATATTTGAAATAAATAAAACCCACTGACGATAAGGAGTGAATTGCTGAAAAAATATCTGTTATTGCTGACCGCCAAGGTCAAATAAAACAGTCAACTGACGGTTACCTCAAAGGAGAGGGTGCCAATCGGTGGAAAGGCCGAACGTGACTTCCTGCTTCAGCGTTAATGGCGCTGGTATCAGCGTAGACAACGTGACACGAAACAATGCAGCACCATCTGTGCATCTACAGTAGCGAACTACGGAGACGCTAGCCAGGTGGCCCTGTCACTACCTAGTGCTTGGATGAATGTAATAACAGACGTCAACTGTAGAATAATAATATATTAAATATTACCCCCCAAAAAATCCTAATTTTATATCCTAAAATACAGGAACACACATATATATCATATAACATATGCATTGATTATTTTATTTAATAACACTACAAAAATGAATGACGTTAGCTTAGTTAGCCGGCAGCCGTTGTTGTTCATTTATTTAAGTCCTTTCGGCTCAGTATAATGGAACACGGCTCCGGCTCAGTTTGTTTCTATGCATGTGGGTTAGAACTCACGTTTCCTTCGGTAACAGCTGCTGTCTTGAGCATGCACTCCACGTTTCTGTCTCCTCTCCCGAATCTCTTTCACGAGGTGGCGGTGCCCTTGCTCATGCCGCTTCTCTTTATAGCTACGGCTAACGTCACCCTCACTTCCGCCTTCACTCTTCTTCGTGTACGTTTGACTTCCAGGTTTTTTTTTTAAGTGCCGCCATCTATCGGTCACATGCCAGTTCCCGCCGCTTGTACTTATAACGTTTTGGGCCGTTAATGGCGATTTTTCTCGTACCTCAAACAGTTTTAATCTTGTTTACGGTGTTTGTCAACTTAAATTTTGATTCTTTGAAGCGTATGAAACTACATTTTAATGTTTTTTCCCCTCTTTTAAGTCTTTGTTTGTTTTTTTCTTTCCTCCTTTTTTGTAAATTTCCTTTTTTGCTTCCCTCACTCCAACCAAGACAATATTTTTTAAAAAGTGTTACTAGATAAATGTAACACTTGTAAGGTAACATGTTACTTTTTCTTTCTTTTTTTACCCAGGTACTTCCTCAAATCATTATCATCACACTAGGCCCACAGGCTTAGAAGTTTTTGGGTTTTTTTTTTTTTAAATCACATAAATAAAACAAATGATAATTCAGTTGGAATAGATGTATGCTGTACTTGGGACTGAAGCACAAAAAGGTAACTTCATGCACATGTGTTCCAGACAAACTGACGACTTTCAGCTGCAGTTCACCTTGAAAGGAGAGCAAACATAACACCGCCGTGCCCAAGTCTGCTTGGATGGAACCCATAATATGACTAACTTCCAGCTGCAGCAATGGAAATGTGGGTTGCTAGAATGGAAAGAAGGAGAGGGATGGGAGGTGTTTTTCTTTTTGCCACAAGTGTTAGACACAGTGGTCTTATCTTTTTGCCACAAGTGTTAGACTCAGTGGTCTTAGACCTATTATTCCAAGATACATAATAATGCTAATATCCATGAGGCTCAGTGAACGATTTGGAAAAGCCCCAAATATTTTGGTTTACAGACGGGGCTGGGAAAGCAACAACTCCTGTGATTGGGCTTTGGTAGTGGGCAGTAGCAAGACAGTCGCCACCGGTGGTAAATTATTAGTAAATCCCTGTAAACATTTGTTCTTTTATTTATTCTTTTATCTGTGGTTTAGCCATCAGGTCTAGTTACTGTTACATTTAATTATTGATTTTTGAGTAAACACACAAATTACAAGGTTGTGTCAATGTCCCTCTAATTGCTCTTTTGGGTATCCTTGGTAATTGTATGTTTTGTCACTGCTGCCACGCTGCTATTTTAACTATTCAGTGGGTGGTCTGACCTTTTAGTTTTTTAATAATTTTCCTGATGTTTCAGTGAACTTCTAACTGAAGGTTAGATACAAATCCTGAAAAACAGACAGCTTTTTTTTTTAATATCTTTAAATCACAATCACAATATCAGTAAATCACAATATGAGCAATACTCTTGGTGGTGGCTCAGCAGTTCTACCAGTTCTGGAATGCAATCCTGCTGGACTATGTGGATACATTTTTGTCAGGAGACCATTGTATTTAAACTTCACCAAAGTTTCCTTTTCTCGACTTGTCACAGTATATGCAGACAAATCCCATAATGGGATTTACAGTGATCCCTCTCCTATCGCGGTAGTTGCGTTCCAAGACCCATCGCGAAATGGAAAAAAAAATTGCGAAGTAGAGACGAGATAGTTATTACATTATTTACGTATGTATTTACCTTTTACGAACCTCCCCCACACTGTTATCAACCCCCCGTAGACTGGGTTAGCCTTTCCCACACCACTACCAGCAATCAGTCACAAATGCACACATTTATAGAGCCCCCAAAAAACGATCGGATTAAGAAAAAAAAAAAATCCATGATGTACTGGGGGAGCGAAAGGAGGAACACTGTACTCCACTTCGTAACTATGGATACAAATGCCGGTTAGGGAACCTACAACTTTTTTTTTTTTTGCAGTAGATGTCTCTTACATAAACAGTAGGCATCTTGAATCCTGTAGGGACCTTTTTACTGCTGTAGATTTAGAGACCTCAAAGTTCAACTGCGTTTTTCACTTCGAGTTGTTGCAGTTTGATGCAAGTGCTGGCCAAGAATGTACCATCGCCATAGAGACAGCAGCTAAAATATGTGATTTTTTTTTTGTTTTTTTCACACGCTTTGGTTCAACTGCTAATAGTAAGTAATGAACCCCAGTTCAGAGGTTAGAATAAATTGTTAGCCCTGGAACTGATTCTGTATGTCAGAGGTGAACAGCGCAGCAGGTAAACAGGTTCTCACAGCCTCTGTATTACTGCCATAACAAAACTCTTACTGTGAGAAAACAGCAGAAAGGTGTTTTCTTAAGATGGATTCACTGGAAAGTTTAATTCCTGTGAGAGCAAAATAAATAAATAAATCTTTCATTTTTTTTCCATGTATCTTCTAATCCCTCAAAGCAACTCGGTAAGCCTTCTGTTTGATTTTTTTTTCTTTGCGTGGTAGAAGACACTTATGGGATTTGGTTTTTAAAAATGTAAATACACGATGGGTGGTATCACAGGAACCAGAGGTGGGCCTTGTATTGTTATAAGGAACAGTCCAGCGCACATATCTGTTTGACAAAACAGGCCCGGTAATTACACATTATGTTGTATCGTGCATTCATCCACTGTAAGTAGTAATTATATGATTGGCGAAAACAGGTGAGAGAGATTTGTTTGAAAGCTTCGGTCCTTCCTTTAAAGATGAACCGAATTTCCAACATGTACAAAAAACCCAGTAAAAAATATAGCAAAAAAAAAAAAACTTTGACAAGTACACGCACGTTTATGCAGGTTCTCAGTTTCAAGTAGTTAAATCAGGGGTGTCAAACATACGGCTCGCGGCTTCACGATATTTTTTGTGAAATTATTATTATTTAATCAATAAATAATACGAATAACTATCTAAGTAAAATTATTATTATTTAATTAAAAATCAATAAATTCGAATAACTATGTAATGTACTTCTTTGCATGAAAACAAAGGGGAAAACATGGACTTTTTGTAACTGATTATGGTGTGATTGCACTGGTCCGGTCCACTTGACATCTATCATGGTCCGGTCCACTTGAAACCAAACCAAAATGAGTTTGACAACCCTAAGTTAAATAGAAAGAAAACGGTATTTTTTGAAGACATTGTTCTTTTGCCTCTTGTCTGTCTTCAGAAAACGAGTTGCACCCGACTTAACTTCTTCAGATTTGACCAACAAAATGAAATTGAATTTGAAGAAAATAAAGGTTTTTGCACGGCTAGATTTTTTTTTTACATTTTTCTGTTTCTTTGTCTCTCAGTCATCACTTTCCTTCGGAGTAACACACAAGTATCACTTGGAAAGATAAGACACTCCTAATCTCTGTCGCACCCAGAGGGTGTACGTGGAGAAGCCCCTTTACAAAAGAATTTGAGAAGAATCAGCATTGTTAGTTATTGAGACCAGACGTTGCTGCGGAACTGTAGACACTTCTCTATTTAGAGCGCAATGATCTGGGGACATATAGCGTGTCCGCACTAGTGACGCAAGAAGTAACAGGTGTAAAAACCAAAAAAAAAAAAAAAGGCCTTTGTGAAAGAAAAATGGAGGAAGTAGTTTCAATCAAGCGGAGCACGAACAGGTTAAACAGAATAAGGAAGTCTGTGAGGAAATTGAGGGCAACGCGGGGACTTTGTACAAGATTGGCCTTAGCCGCAGTGTATGATGCAATAATAGTGTTGGGTGAGTGCAGACGAGGTCCCCCAGTAACATTACTTAAGTGTGTGTGTGTGTGTGTGGTTTTTTTTTTAACTGTGCTGCACAGGAACGATACATTATCTCTTTCAAAACACAACTCAGTTCAGACACCCAGGGCTTGGTCTCCAAGAACTCATGACCCCTTTCTGATTACGAAACACGCACAGGTTTTAAAGTGATGGGAAAACGTTTTTCTTTTAGCTTTTAGTTTTTCGAATTATAAGGCATTTTAAATTTATCTACTAATTTTTTTTTTTGAATATTGTATAATATGTTGGCAACAAAGGAGAAACTAAATCTAATGCCAAAATGATGCTTCAAAGCACGTGTCAAACTCAAGGCCCGGGGCCCAAATGCGGCCCGCCAATCTGTTTTGTGTGGCCCGGGGGAGATTAAAATGCAAAGTAAGGTCCATGCAGCAGAGTTTTTTTTAAAGTGTATTAGTCTGTTATGGAGTAGTCATATCTGTGTCTAAATCCAAGACCAATCCAAGGACTGGTCAGCCAGTACCACCGGTTACTACACAGCGGAAGCGAGGTGCTGAGTATTGAAGTATCATTATATTTTTTAAAATCTATCTTTAAATAATATGAGTTTGACACCCCTGCTTTACAGACTAAAATTCAAAAGTCTTCAACGTGCAGGTCTGTGACAACAACGACCTCCAGTGGTCGGATGGAGTAGCTAACCATGTGTGAAGTAGAAAAATATTTATTGAAAACACATTACGAACTCTACAACTTTACCCATGACCAACGTAATACGAAGACAATTTCAAAACTTCACTTCTTAAATCATTCACGCACAAAAAAAAGAACAACTTCACTGACGAATATCAATCACGCACAAAGGTTTTCTTTTAGTGACTCGGTCGAAAAGGAAAGGGCATACCCGCCATGAAAGGCTGACCGGGGTACTGTATTTGAGAAGCAGGGTGTGTGGACATGGGTGTGTGCGGATTGTGTGCAGGGTGTGCAGTATGTGTAGGAAGCGCAGGGTGAGGTGGGTGTGAGGAGATGGGTGAATGACCTGCATGTGGACTGAAGGCCAGCGGAGGAGTGTGGATGTTGTTGTAGTACATCACAGGACCAGACAAGACCAACTGCAGCAAACTGGCGATGCACAAACACAAAACAGGGAAAGGAACAAAAGTTAAAATGAAAAAAAAAAAAAATTGTTATTATTGTCTCTCGCTTTTTACCTTCCACTATATATGTACATACAATATGCAAACACTTTGCTTTTTAAAAATGTGTTGTTTTTTTTCCTTACTTGTTGTGAGGGAGACGGGAGCAGATGGCTCGTAAGTCCTCTGCGGAGACAAAAATCACATACATTATTACTTAGTGTTAACATTAGCATGTTAGTGAATATACTTATATATGTACGTATATATGTACATACAACATACAGCCCCTGGCCCACCAGGGGTTTCAATCTGGGCCCGCTTGATGAATTTTGAAAGTAAAATAATACACAATACTTCATGTTCTGGAAATGTTTTGTGAAATTACATTTCACTAAATATATATATAATATATAATATATAAGGGTATAGGTATATAGTTTTTTTTCTTCTACTTGTTCTTACTTCAAATGTGTTTGAGAGAGACTAAGAGTCAAACAGTGAGTTAAATGGTTGAGTTGAGTTCAGTGACGAAGATGAATAAATATGAAAAAGGTTACAGTCTCCATCTATTGGACACACTGGGAAACAGAAACATATACTAGTAATAATAAGACATTTGGTACCAATAAGAGATCTGCATAAAATTTGTTAATAATGTACTGTCATTGTGTAACACATCTGTAGTCCAGACCATCTCTTCCATATTCCTACACACTTACCCCTTGAGCAGAGGAGGGCTCCGTTGGCCAGAGCGACCC